GGGAGCAGCCACTGCACTCTGGTCTGGGTGACAGAGGGAGACTCCACCTCAAAAAAAAAAAAAGAAAAGGGTTAGGGTGAAAGGTCTACCGCTTTCCCTGTCTCCTTGTCCTCCAACCTCTGTCCCCAGAAGCATCCACAGGTTACCTGTTCTTTGTCAGTCCGTCTAGACGTGTTGATTACATGCATAAACATAGATCATTTCATGCCCCTTTAAGTGACATCATGCTATACTTTTTTTTTTTTGAGTCGGGGTCTCACTCTGTTGCCCAGGCTGCAGTGCAGTGGCACGATCACGGCTCACTGCAACCTTGACCGCCTGGGCTGAGGCGATCCTCCCAGCTCAGCCTCTCAAGTAGCTGGGACCACAGACACGCACCACCACCATGCCTGGCCAATTTTAAAATTTTTTTGTAGAGACAAGGCCTCACCCTGTTGCCCAGGCTGATATCAAACTCCTGGGCTCAGGCCATCCTCCTGCCTCAGCCTTCCCCTGGGATTATAGGCTTCTCTCTCTCTCTCTCTCTCTCTTTCTTTTTTTGAGTCAGAGTCTCACTTTGTTCCCCAGCCTGGAGGGCAGTGGCACGCTCACAGCCACCACAGCCTCAACATGCTGGGCTCCGGCAATCCTCCCACCTCAGCCTTCCAAATAGCTGGAACTACAGGCGTGCACCACCACACCCAGCTAATTTTTTCATTTATTGTAGAGACAAGGTCTCACCAATTTGCCCAGTCTGGTCTCGAACTCCTGGGCTCAGGTCATCCTCTCGCCTCTGCCTCTCAAAGTGCTGGGTTGACAGGCATGAGCCACCACGTCCGACTAGACAGTCTTTTCATAACTATCTTGTTGAACTAGAGACCAGGCAAGGTCCGTGCACTGATTTTTTGGACATGTCTCTGTTTTTTGGGGTTTTTTTGAGTTGGAGTCTCACTCTGTCACCCAGACTGGAGTGCAGTGGCCGCTCCCGGCCACCGCAGCCTCGACCTGCTGGGCTCCGGCGATCCTTCCGCCTCAGCCTTCCGAGTAGCCAGAATTACAGGCATGCGCTACCATGCCTGGCTGATTTTTTTTTGATTTATTGTAGAGATGAGGTCTCGCCAAGTTGCCCAGGTGGTTCTTGAACCCGTGGGCTCAGGCAATCCACTCACCTCAGCCTCCCAAAGCGCGGGATTACAGGCTGAGCCACCGAGCCTGGCTGTCTCTTTGTTTTCAACTTCAAGGATGAAATACGTGGAGGGAAAACTGGTCCATAGATGGGAGACTTGAATCTGGAAAACTCCATGTGTCTCCGTCTCTCTGTCCCCATTGGCAAAAGGTACACCCCCTCTTCCTGCACTCACAGTCGCACCTCTGTGGTCACCTTGACAGTGGGGCAGGCGAGCCTGGGTCCAGGGTAGGAAGGACGCCGTCTCCTGCCCTCCGTACCTGGGTGGCCCACACCTGGGGTGGTCTATCCCGCCCACACTCTCTGCTCTTTGGTCTTGTGGAACATTCTGGCTGGCATTTCCCAATCCGGAAGAGGGGAGCCCGTCTGGTGGATGATGACGTGATACACACAGGAGCTTAAAGGGAATATCTGTGCCCCTGGGAGACACAGCAAGAGGACAAGGCCACCTCCCGATGAGGCGTAGAGGCAGAGTTGGGGATGGGTGGGTGCTGAGACAAAGCCTGGAAAAGTTGCCCTCCCATCTCCAGAGCAGCCACTCCATCCAGTTGGCCATCACTGCACTGTGGCTGCCAGACCTGGACAGGGAAGAGAGTAGCCGTTAACACTCTAGTATGAATTAAGTCACAGAGTCATGCACTGACTCATTTTGTCAGCTGTGCTGAAGTGAGGCAGGTGTTGATAACCCTCTTCCTTCATTTTTTTCCCCTGATGGGGTTTGTCTGGGGAACACCAGGATGGAATATGAATGAGACCCCTGTGCTTCTCACCCAGGGCTGTACAGGAGACCCCAAAAGAGCTTTAAAAAAACCCTGAGAGCCAGGCACAGTGGCTCACACCTGTCATCCCAGCACTTTGGGAGGCAGAGGCAAGAAGATTGCCTGAGCCCAAGGACTTGAGACCAGCTTGGGCAACTTGGTGAGAGCTCATTTCTACAATAAATAAAAAAATTAGTCGGGTGTGGTAGTGTGTGCCTATGGTTCCAGCTACTTGGGAGGCTGAGGCAGAAGGATCGCCGGAGCCCAGCAGGTTGAGGCTGCGGTGGCCGTGAGCAGCGTGCCCCTGCACTCTAGCCTGGGTGACAGAATGAGACTCTGACTCAAAACAAAACAGAAGCCAAGCTCGGTGGCTCAGCCTGTAATCCCGCGCCTTTGGGAGGCTGAGGTGAGTGGATTGCCTGAGCCCGCGGGTTCGAGACCCGCCTGGGCAGCGAGACCTCATCTCTACAATAAATAAAAAAATCAGCCGGGCATGGTAGCGCACGCCTGTAATTCCGGCTACTCGGAAGGCTGAGGTGGAAGGATTGCCGGGGCCCAGCAGGCGAGGCTGCAGTGGCCAGGAGCGGCCACTACACTCCAGTTTGGGTGACAGAGTGAGACTCCAACTCAAACCACCCCCCCAAAAAAAACCCCAAAAAAACCCAGAGACCTGGTCACTCCCATTCCAAGTGCACAGACACTCCAGGAGGGGGGGTCCAGCCACATCTCCCCACAGTGGCTCCCGTGTGTGGGCGAACGTGAGAACCCGGGGGGAATTCGAGCTCAGAGCAGACATTTCTAATCTCATCACGGGAGGCCCCAGAGAGAGGCTGAGACTTCCTCAAGGTGACACAGCAAGGGAACGGGCCCCGACCCCAAAGCCCCCGCGCCGGGCTGACCCCCACCAGGCTGTGCAACTTTGAACGAGTGACGCCCCCATCCCCTGCCTGGTTCTGCCCTGTCGGATGGGGAAGGCTGTGCCTTCAAAGGTCATTCAGGATTGCCCCACCCCCCACCCTGCCCAGGTTATGGGGTCGGGACCTTCAAGAGGGAGCGGGACATCTCAGGGACAGGGAACTGGGCCGAATCACAATGCTGGGTGTCCTGGGTGCATCTCATCAGCGAAAATGGCCGGGCAGAGGGACCCCTTCGCCGCGGAGGTGGGAAGCATCACGTGAAATGGCCAACGGGGGCCTTGACCCCTCCAACTGCCACCGTGGAGTCCCTGGGAACTACCCCCAGCCGTGAGCCGGACACAGACACACGCTGGGCACCGCGGCGCCCAGTTCCAGGGTCACGAGGCCCTTGGACACCAGAGATCGCGATGGACCCGTTCCACAGAGGGGGGCAACTGAGGCTCAGATAAGCCAACCATTTGCTCCAGAATGAACAGTCAGGAAGGGGGAAGAGGCGTCCGACGGGTTCCCCGAGGGTCAGCCGCCCCAGCTCCAAGCCTGGTCACGCTGCACTTGTGGCCCGACGGCGAATGCCTGTGGTTTTTATGCTGACAGAGATCGGGACGTATGTATTTCTGTATCCGTTTTATTTTGCAATCATGAGCGATTTCCCATCAAAGACAGTCCAGAGGCCCTGTGTGTCCTCCCCCGGACTCCCCAAGGTGGTTGGTATCTTTGATAACTATAATACAATACTGAAACCAGGGAACTGGGGTCGGTCCGACCCCGATATAGCTTATCTTGCCACATTCGATGGCCCTGCCTCGCGACAGCCTTGGGAGGGAGAGACCATCAACCCATTTTACAGAGAGGGAAACTGAGGCTCCCATAGGGGAATCTTTTGCTCCAGAACGAACAGAGACGCAGAGTTGACTGTCGCCACGAAGCTCTCCCATGTGGTCCCCTCACAGCCACCCCCGCCACCACCCCTCACCTCCGGCGGCCGCCAACTTAGAACCATCGTGCATTCGGGCCACCCACCCGATCCCACCACCTTCCTCGCTCCCAGAGGCCCTGGGTGACCAGGGTGGCGGGGTGACTCGCTTGGGACTTGCTTTCCCAGCCTGCCTTGCCGCAGGGAATGGCCCTGGGACGCAATCCTGGCTCATAGGATGTGACCGGAATGTGCCGGAAGGTTCTAAGGAGGCCATGGCTCTCCAGGCGGGTCGACGCCTACGTGACGCCCTCTCCCTGCCCTGAGCACAGACAGCTCCGTGGCTTAGCCAGCTGAGGAGGCCAGCATCCTCCCTACCCCCTGTCGGGTGATTTCGGCCCCCAAGGACATGCAGGGTGGTCGGAGTCACACGAGGGGTTCTCAGGGCGCCCAGTGGGAGAGGCTGCCCCAAACCGCCCAAGGCCCGGGAGCGCCCGCCCCAGCCAAGCGTGGCGGCCCCAACATCAGCTCCGAGGTCAGGCCCCAACGGCGACCGCCATGAGCGGGCGTTACTATCTCCTGCAGCTGAAAACACTCGGGACCGAGAAGCTGCCCCAGCCTCGAAGACTCCCAGACAGGGTGGGAGGGAGACGCCGGGCACCCGGGCACAAGAGAGCACCGGCCGGGAGCCCAGACCCGCTGTTCCACCCACCCAGGGCCTCGAGCAGGAGGGTGGGCGCATGCTGACCCCCATGGGCCCCCTTCTCCACCCGGGACCCCTCTCTCTACCCACGTCCCACCCCCCGTCTCCACCTGGGTCGCCCCACCGTCCACAACCCCGCCCCCACCCACGCTGCCCCTCTCACCATCTGGGTCGCCTCTCCACCCACCTCCCCTCCCTTCCGCCTCTAGCCGAACTACAGAAAGCCCATTTCATGCAAACACCGTTTTAATGTAGAAAACACACCTCCCTTACGTACATAAATATAATTTGGGGGCATAAATAATGTAGGAAAATAAGAGATGTACACATCAAAATAAATTACTCATAAATATCTCGCTGTTATCATGCTGCAGATTAAGTGCTGGGGAAAGGGTTTGGCGTCCCCCCCTGCTGCTTCTGCCAGTCCTTGGCAAGACCCGGGGCCATCAGCCTTTCTTTCTAACGATTTTTGTGGGCACGTGGCGAGGGGCTGGGAAGCCCTGCCCCACATAATAGCAGGCGAGGAGGGGCAGAGGGTTGACGGGTGGGTGACAATTATCTCTTCTCAGTCCCGATCCACGGCTCTTAATAAGCAGGGCGGGAGGCCGGGCGCCGGGGCTCACGCCTGTAATCCCAGCATTTTGGGAGGCCAAGGTGGAAGGATTGCTGAGCCCAGGGGTTCGAGACCGGCCTGGGCAACTTGGCGAGACCTCGTCTCTCCAAAAGATCAAAATATTAGCCAGGCATCGGGGTGCCCGCCTGTAGTTCCAGCTACTCAGGAGGCTGAGGAAGGAGGATCGCCTGAGCCCAGGAGGCTGTGGTGAGCTGTGTCGTGCCACCGTGCTCCAGCCTGGGCAGCAGAGTGAGACCCTGATTCAGAATAAGAAGGAGGGGGAGATCCCCTAGGTGAGGAGGAATTAGGAAGGGGTGCAGGCCTGGCAGGGTCTCTGTGTCACAGGACGTGACGAGGGCAGATTTGCGTCCCTGGAAACCCCCAGCGTCACACACACGGGCCAGCCCTGCTGCTGGCATGGGTTGTCTGGCTGCCTGTCCTTCTGAGCGGGAGTGGAGAGGGCAGTCCGGGCGTTCACCTCTAGGGCAACAGCTCCGAGCCTGCCAGGAATCAGCTATGAGCAGGGTGCTGTTTATCAAGAGAAGAAAAGTAGAGAAATCTCACCCCCCTTAGGACAGACGACCTGCCGTCCAGGGGAAGGTGTCCGTGCCACAGCCAGCCTCACAGGGAGTTCTCAAGACTCCCTGGGACTGGAGGGGGACACTGAGTGTCCCCCACTTCTCAAGCCTGCTGAGCCAGGCCTGCGCCCCGTCTCCACCGTCAGTGCTGGCCTAGAAGGGTTCAGAGAGGGATAACGGTCCTTGGCATTGAGATCTGGATGGATCTCACCTGGGGTTGAGTCGAATTTACCTGACGTTCCACAGAGCTGACCACCTGCCTGTGAGGTTAAGACAACAGGTCGTCCCCTGCCGGGATGATGAGAATTACAGAGAATCTCAGCTTGACATGAAGTGTTCCACAGGCAGTGAGCTCCCCGTCGGCGGAGGTATTCAAAGCAGAACCTGGGTCATCCAGCCGCGTGTCCGGCAGCCACCAGGGGGCAGGAGCAGGGGGTCTCAGGGAGCACGGGGCGGGTGGCGGGTTTACAATTTCATGATCATACGAGCCTATCCACTAGAAACTGGCACAGCCGACGTCAAACTCTCGAGTATGTACAACTTCTACGTGTTTCTGTCTAAAGCTACACGGACCGCAGGCTCGGGGCTGTCCTTGGGGGTTGACCCGGCCAGAGCCCACACGGGCTTGGCGGCCCAGCCTCCACGGCAGGGGGAGGCCGGAGCCTCAGTCACTTCTGAAAGCTGGGACTCTTCACCACGTCGTCGCCCTTGGCGAACCCGAAAGGGTCCATGCTGTCGGTCTCCAGGGCCGCGGAGAGCACGTCGGATTCCCCAAAGTGCCAGGACTCCTCTGGGGCCACGGGCAGCATGGGCAGGAAGTGGGACAGCGGCAGGAAGCCCCGGTCCTTGTACAGCTGGCGCTGCCTGGTGTTGCTTAGGGAGACAGGCAGGCGGTGCTTCTCGGAGCGGTACACGGTGTGGCCGTCGGGGCGGATCTCTTCCAGGAAGGCACAGTCCTCTTCTGAGTACTGAGACTGCAGGGGAAAGCGCAGCGGGTGAGTGCCGGCTGGCAGGGACCCCAGATCCCACCCAACAGTGTGGAGGAGAAACTCGGTCCCCGCAGGTATTTCTGCCGCGGCCTCGCCCGGCCATACCAGCGGCACTCCCATGCTTGATAGGTACCTCCTTATGTATACAAGTGTATACATATATGCAAAACAGATGTTTGCTTGAGTATGCCCAGTTATAGAATGATGCGCTTTATTTTTACTTTTTTATTTTTTTTTGAGTTGGAGTCTCACCCTATCACCCAGACTGGAGTGCAGTGGCCGCTCCCGGCCACCGCAGCCTCAACCTGCTGGG